TATATATATATATATATATATATATAATACATATAGTACATACATACATACATATCTATCTCTTTGTACAGCCGGACAATTCCACTACACTTGCCTTGTCGGAGCAGATTGGCCTGGTGCTCATGGTAAGCATCGTCCATCTCGCTCTCAAGCTTCTCACGGGCCTCACGCATGTTCTTCTCCACCTGCTGTCTCTGCTGCTTCTCCATTTCATCAAGGGACTTCCAGCGTTTTGAGTACTCAAACTCAAAGGTGCCTGGACGAGCAAAGCGAGGAGGATCCTCACGTTCTCTATAGACACAAAACACAATATGTCAAGTTTTATTACCTGGAGTGTTGTACTGAAATGAGCATTACATGATTTTATTTCCATATGCATTAGAATGAGGAGGGCCTGCAGAGTTCTGACAGCTGAAATTCACGTCACAGCAATGAACAATTGACATATGAATAAACACGTGAATTCCAATGTCCTGTAATAGCAAGTGCGCATATTTTTTCCAGTCAGTGGGAAACAACTAAACAGTAGAGTTCTTTTTAATAAGCTGCAAATATTACAACACCTGCATTTTTATATAACAAATAGTACGAGTATCAGTACTCACTGTTAGGATAGAGTTTCTACCCCCGTCTTTCCTTATATCTACAAATTTAAAATTCTACAACTCCAAATCAAAATGATTATATTTGTAACACTAATGGAAAATATATGGGGTGAACATGATAAACAATGATGTGCTTACGCTTGATATCTGGGGTTCTTCTGTGCCAGTTTCTCTGGAAGACCGTCTTCATCATCATACTGCTCCAGAGGCTCAACAAGAACAGGTCGGGGAGATCTGAAAAGAAAAATAAGCAAGGTTTTCAAGTATCCTTTGTGAACAAGTATTGAATCATTATGAATAATGCTAAGGTTTGTTTTCTGAAATCTAAACTTCACATACGTGGTGAGCAGGAAGACGCCCTCATTGCACCGGTCCAGGGCCTTTCTGGCAGCAGGCTTGGAGGCAAACTCGACAATGCCCCTGCCCGTAGAACGCCCACGATCATCCACAATGACAACGGCCCTCTCGACCATCCCAAACTGGGAGAAAGCTTCCTCCAGGAGCTCATTAGAAACAAACGGTGACAAATTCTTCACAGACAGAGCTGCAGAGTGTGTGGCAAATCGGACACGCAGGGGCCTGCCTTTCATTGGCGTGTCATCCAACTCAGCTTTCGCTATCTCCGCAAGCGCACGAGACTCCTACAAGAACATGTAATCAGCTACTATTAGGGGATCTATTAATATTAAATTAACAAATTGTTAGAATATTCTAACCTCAAACTAACTAAACATATAATTACCAATTAATTTAACCAATAAATTACAGTTAGTTGCAATCCAACTGTATTAATCTTAAATCCACCACTAGTGATAGTTTGTGTTCATGTCAACAGTATGCATATTTAAGAGAAGGATGTCTTACCAATCGAATGAAACCAAAACCTTTGCCTTTGTTGACGAACACCTCGCTGGGCTCTCCATATTTTGCAAACAACTTCCTGAAATCTTCCTCTGTTAGGTCGTTAGGCAGGTTGCCAATGAACAGACGACACCGCTGTGTGTATGTCTTCTCACCGGGTTTCAGCAGTCTGGACAGGGTCGCCTTAAACTCCTGTTGTTGACAATAATATGGACTTAAATCTAAGTCTTTGTGCTACACAACAATACCATTACACTCGGACAACAAAAACGCACAAAGGGTGGATAGCAACAGATAGAAGCCATGTTATCTCTTTGTCAAACCGTTCACATTCTATCATGTCGATTTCCATTCACCAATTTCCCATACGCTTTAATGTGCTCGAAGAAAACAAATTTGATCTCCATTTGAAAAGTTGTTTTAGGCAAAATACTGCAGGGAAGATGACTTAAGTATCCTTGTGGAAATCCGTGTAAAACAATCACCAGTTAGATATCTTAGTTTTCGAGACTGAACAAGATGGCGCACAACAAAAGTGAGTGAGCTATAGTGCGCTTCATTTCTATCACAACCTGTACCGACTTAGGTTGTAGCAGACGACTGGGCTAAAACTGGTTACGGCTGACAGAACGCAAGATAACCCCGTCACTCGGGCTGTGCAGTATTTCAAATCGAGCGTCCCGTTAGCTGTACAAAATAAGCTAGCAATAGGTAACAGCCACGGCTGTCGATGCAACACACGGCAGAAAATGCAATTTAAAGAAAAAAAAACATACCTTTGAATGGCTGTCGTCTGACTCGACTGCATCGTTGTCCGAGGCATTTTTCTCAGGCTCCTTACGCTCCTGGTTGGGCTTCACCATCGGTGGCACTGATCGCTGGCCCTGCTGAGGACCAGTTCTTTGGCCTTGCTGAGGGCCTGCCCTCTGGCCTTGCTGAAAGCCTGACTTCTGGCCTTGCTGTGGCCCTGGTTTGGGGCTCGGGTGTGGAGGCTGCTTCTGCTGCTGCACATTAGCATTACCTCCTGGTGATTTCAGCTGCTGGTTCTGGATCTTGTTTGCCTGAGCAGGCTGAGGGGAGGGTATGTTAAGTTTCGGAGGTGGTGACTTAACATTCGGCTGGGGCGTAGGAGATGTCGGTTTCCTTTGCTGCTGCTCTTCTTGTTGCTGCACCGGTTTCTGTTGTTGCTGCTGCATCGGGCCTTTCATCGTGAGAGCCGGACCGGGACTCGGCGGAGGAATAATTGGCAGCGACTGGTTCTCTTGTGGCTTCTGGAGAGTTGTCTGTGGTCCCTGATTAGACGGTCTGTTGAAGTTTGTATTTGGTCCCCTGCGATTTTGGTTCTGATCTTGAAAAGGATGGCTCCTGAAATTGGGGTTTCCCATTATTCCACCCCTCATCGGGCCACCAGGCCCACCACCTCTACGTGGCTGGAAATTATTCATCCCAAATCCCCCGCGATTATTGTTAAATCGAGACATGGATTATTATATCAGCGAATCCTATTATTAAATTAACAAAAGAATGTTACAGGCCTTCACCGTAACAACCACCTGGAACCGAAGCTTGCAGGTCACACGTCTCAAAATGGCGACTAGCAGTTGTGCGTAGAATGGTCTTTCTTTCTCCGGCCCAGTGACAAGCCATTGCTCTCCGCTCATTGGCCCGCGGCTCAGCGGGAGGAGGAGTCACTTTGAAGGAGCTGGTGTTTCAAGTACAATTTTGAGATAATACAGTTTAAGTTAACATTTTTCTCCCTTTAACAAAATTAGCTGTTCACAAAGAACAATTCGTTCCAAAAACTTTACCAAAGCACATTAACCTTATTTGTTTTTTATATTTTAGACATAGCACTGTTGTTTCTTTAAACACTTTTCTACTGGACTAAATAAGATACTACCTCACAGAGCTAAATGATCAGTAACTGCAAATACTTCCTTCATAGCAGTAAACAGGGTTTTAATGAATTGTATACCCATTTAAACTCTGCCTGCATTCATATTAATAAGTGGGGATATGAAATTATACAAAGTGACTGCAAACTAGTAGCCAGCCTGCATAGATATATTTGGAAACCCTGTTAGCACTGGATAAAAGACAAACATTTCAACTTCAATCACAAATTTTTGACCTCAAAAATGATAATAGCTGTGAGCACTTTGACTTCATTATTCTTTTTGACTGGAATAAAAAGTCATAAAACTTTATTTTGTATTCTTTCTATTCACAGTAATTGATCACCATCGTTTGGTGTTAAAATGGCACTAAAGAACAAATTACTTGTTTTGGAAAACATTTTGCTTTTTATTTAAAAATCTTGCTTCCTTTCTGTCATATGGCTTGACAAAGTATTAATTACACACTTTTTCCCCATTACAGGACATGTGTGATGTTTAATTGCAAATTACGTTTGAATTATTTTCCTCAGGTCTATCTCTCACCTCATTAATCCACCTTCTAAGATCTATCCAGCTATAGAAAATGAAAGATGCTCAACACAGACTGACTTTTCTTTTGTCCTTTATTTCTGCATACAGGCGTTTTGGAAACAAAATAAGTGGAGAGACAACAGTCTCACCTCAACATGTTTTCTTAATGCTCATCATTATTAACAACACAAAACGGGATGTCAACAGTGACAAAACACAACAAAAAAAGTCCAATAACAAAAAACGTGTAAAAAGTTTAACTAATGACAACATACAACCCAAGAGAAAACACACAAGACAGTGCGACTTCATCATACATAGGGACATTTTGGAATTAAAAATGAATGTGTCGAAAAGAAATAAAGAAAAGCAAACAGAGCGCAGCTGCATCAGAGATTTAGCAACAGGAAAATATAAAAGCAGTCGAGGAGACGTGACATTCACTGATTTATGAGCAACAAATAACATAGATGTCTTTCCCCGTTTCCATTATTTCTTGTCTTAAAATCAGGTTTATGAACAGCAATACAGGTAAAACAGGTAATCATGAAGAGAGCAAAATTAACATTCACAAAGGAAAATGTAGAATACCTGATAAATTTTTAAGCACACACAACTCCTCAGAGTTACACTTCTATGTCCAAGGATCACAAGTTGTTCAAGATTAACTTTTTAATTGTGTAAAATCACCCTTCAGCTATGTTGGAACAGCTTCTTGCCAAAGCCCTCCCAATGAACAGTAATAGTGCTGGGTTTACTTTTATATCTGACCTTACAGTAAAATAAAGTAGCTGGGATGGGAATATTTCCTCACACTTTCTTTAAAACACCGGGGTGCTTTGATGTTGTAGAAGAAAATCTGGAGAAAGCGGGCTTTTCCAGAGTTTAAAACAACCAAAGTCATCAATTCACATTAACTGGCTGTTCATGGGGTGGATGCTGCTGAAACAATAAAACTTGAGTAGGAAAAATGCTGAAGGAGGAACAGTGAACCGAGTCATGGCATGCAGTGTGCACGGGTATGCAAACATGTGGAGTAATGCATTATTTCATGTAACTCGTACTGATCAGGCATTCACCTTTAAACCTACAATCTGATTTTTTAAAAATGAAATCAACTGAAGTACTTTTATATAAAAGAATCATATAATCAAAGCAGAGAGACATCACCAACATGCATGCATGGAAGTTATGAAATAAACAGCACAGGGTGGCAAAAGCATCAGTTGATTCAATTTCTTTTATTTCGATTGAATTTTATTCAAATAATTCAATATATTTTATCACACTCATTAAAAAAGTTAATGTGAGCCACCCCTGAATGCTGGTACTTTATTAAAAGGGGTGTTTATAATGAAGTGAAGATTCCAAAGCTGGACAGACTGGAATGGATGGTAGGGTGTAAACCAGCTGCTGCAGCTTTGCAAACACACTGCACCTGACCCTGTAGGGCTCCAACACTGGAGAGGAGCAGCTGTCAGACCCAATTAGCCAGGTGAAATGCACTCATGTGATGTATCATAAAGCAGGAAGGGATAGAGGATAGCGTGGATATGGTTGTAAACAAACTATGGGAATTAGCATGGTTAGCGGGCTAACAACAGCACTCTACAATGTACATTATACAGCATCTGATTAGACATTTTACTGTTGTTAACCTCTGTCAGTATGCTCACTGTCACTGCAGCCAAACAGCAAGCCTCCTTCTCTGCTGTCTGTACTATTTACTGTGCAGTTATAAGGCAAGCCTTTAAACAAACCGCATTTCCCGAATGAGAGGCCAGTCCTACATTTTCTCTCACAGTTGCTGCATACTGGACAGCCTTGAGATTTTAGTGACATCTGATTGAACTTAAAGAAGGCAGGTCTCTTTTGTTTTGTGCCCATTTCCACATAGAAAGGAAGTGGAAGCAAAATCTGGTGTGACTGTTCCTTAGTATGGTCACAGACCTGACTCCATGTTATTGTTCCACTATATTTCTCAAGTTGACACAGCGATGCAAGAGATAAAGGAGTGGCAATGGAAGCAATGGAGGTTGTGACTGGTTAAGATAAAACAAAGTGAAGTAAAAGTGAAGAAAAACTGAGGTCAAGGTAAAGGCGACAGACAGGTTGTTTAAATAAAACCAAAGGGAATGTACTGTGTAAAGTGTTTCTCCCTCCAAAGGCTAAGACTTGTGAGTGCAAGCACTGTGTTATGTTTTTACCAAATCAGTGTGTTTGACAAATTTGTTCTCAGTAGGAGTGTTGTTGGACTGAAGCAGATGTGCAGCGGCACATGCGGTGGCAGTGCGGATCAAATCATTGTTAAATTTGTGTGTATGTGTGTGTGCTCATGCATGTTATCTTATGGGCATGTGTGGAAGAGAGGGTGTTCATGGCTGTTTCCTGTGGGAGAATGGCAGATCAGGGTGAGAGGTCAGTGTCTCGGGGGGTGGGGGTCACAGTGGGGAACAGGTGAGGTCAGATTCGGGGCAAATACTTCTCAATAAATTCCTTTACAGCCGCCATCTCCTGCAAGGGAGAAAAATGTGTTGGTACAGCAAAGTAACTAAACTGATACAAAGACAACGAGCCTATGACTACATTCACCCTGCAGGTCTTAATGCTCAGATCGGATTTTTTGCCAAAATCCAATTTTTTTGCGCTGTTGTTCACACTGTCATTTAAATGCGATTGCCATCTCTCATGTGTGAGACGGTATACGGCCCTGAAGTGACCCGCATGCGCAGAAGATGACGTGACGTCAGACGCAGTGTACTGTGTTTGCAAAAATAAAAATGGATGCGGCTCGTGATAGCGTGTGTAGTGATGTACCAGTTAATTAATGTGCAATCGAAATAAAGAAATAATAATAAGAAGAACATCAAGAAGGAGGAGAGCACAAATATTGCTTATGGCCTCGCCTCCTCCGGTGCAGAATTGTGACGTCTGTCGCATTTCAATGACATAAAAATCGCATGAAATGCGACCTGGCCGTTCAGACTGAAGTCGCATTGCAAAACATCGGATATGTATCCGATTTAGGACCACATATGTAAGTGGCCTGGGCCGGATTTGAAAAAAATCGGATTTGTGCTGTTCACACTGGCATTAGGAAATCGGATATGGGTCACATTTGGGCAAAAAGATCGTATTTGAGTCACTTCAGCCTGCAGTGTGAATGTAGTCTAATAAGTTAAACAAAGAAAACTGTTTGTTTACAAATGTACAAAATACATTTCTGGCATAAACAACTCATCCTACTTTGCAGCCCCTCAGGGTCGGGTTTACCAGCAATTCTGAAATTAGTTAAAGCTACATAAAGAAATATTTCCGATATCTGATGTTCTGATTTTAGACAAAAATCACTTTATGCACCTTTAATTTTAAAGACTGTCTGCAGAAAAAGGAGATTTAGTTTCTTCAGAAATGATACAATGCTGATGAAAAATATTCTTTGTTCTGCAAAATGTAAGCATGCTGAATTTCAGTAGTATTTCTGATATCTCTGAAACTGATGTAGCCTGACAGCAGCAGGATATACCCATAACCTCCCTCTTTTATAGCACAGTACCTGAGGACAGGAGCTATGAGAGAGCCCTGGGTAGGTTTTGAAGGTGATCATCTGAGGGTTAACCATGGATTTGAGTCTTTCTGCCGTCATGGCACCAAACTGCACAGGGATCATGACATCCATCTGACCGTGGCACTGCAGGATTGGGAGGTTCTTGCTGCCGCCTGATGCCTGCGGAACAGACACAACAGAGAATGACCATGTCCACACTGAAAATGCATCTTTGTCTTTTTGTTTTGGCCCACATATAATTAAAAACCTCAGGCAGTGTGACAAGTGAAAAATGTCTGCAGGTACCTGCAATGAAAAATGAAGAGCAGAAAATAAAGGCAGCACAGTTGGAAAAAACAAACAAACCACAACTTAAGGACAGTAAAACTGTGACTATACCGATGGGAAACTCTTGTGAAGCGGCAGCCAGCAGCTGAGGGCCACAACACCAGCCAACTGATGCTGGGAGGTCAAGGCAGTATACAAGGACAAGGCCCCACCCTGAAGAGAAACACAGGAAGCAGACAGTGAAAAGAAACAGCATTACCTTGTATTTCCTAATACTGTGTGTACTAATATGACTCTTACCAAAAATAAAACAAGCCTAAGATGTAAATTCCTACCTGAGAGAAGCCACCAAGGATTATACGGTGTGGTGGGATCCCATTTTTTGCCTCATGTTCGATTATGGCCTTGACTGGAGGAAAGAGAGAAAGCTTGTGTGTTAAACTATGGAGAGATAGCACACAATTCACAACAAACCCTTGAGATGTTTAAAGGGCACATGCCTCGGTGCTAACATGGGTCACTGGGCCATAGATGCCTGGTATGATAAGTTTCTGTCAGACTTAATAACTAAGGTTTTCTGGGTTAGCACGGTGAGTGCAGACAAACATCTGAATGCAGAAGTATTTCTCTGATTGTATTGATTACTGGTGCACTCAGATTAAGCTCTAGCCTTCAAGAGCCTCTTCCCACCAGTACAGAGGAACAGGAAACATGAGTGTGGAATGACATTAAGCTAAAATATCATACAGACATAACAGCTACCATCTTCCAGTCTCGATATCATGCTGATTAAGCAGTACATCTCTGCCATTATAGAGCACCACTGATCCCATAGGAAGATCACTTCTATTGGATTTAGAAACATGAAACTCACTGTTTTCTGCTGCCTTCTTGATTCCGGATTCGTCCTCTGGGGAGTCAGGGCTGAGACCCATGAGGTCAAACCTGTACACATGCAGAGCTGGGTGTTTAAGGAGACCAACAGATACAATCGCTGCACTGTCACTGGTAATAGGGGGCCTATTGTAGCTGCCTGGGAGACAACAGCATCCAGTGTTGCGCTATAAGGCAGTTTCTCTTTGTCACGCCAACTCACCATGCGGGCATCACCATCTTCATGTTGAGAGTGACGGGGATTTGGGGTCTATGAGGGAAAAGGGAGAGAAATAAAAACATGACAGTCAGTGTGGGAGATCACCCACAGCCAGAAGCAAAGTGTTGGTGATTTATTCCCTCTATAGGACAAAACTGCAAATAAACTATTTGTTTAAAGCTACTTTTGCATTCTGATGACCAAACTTTGGTTTAAAAAAAGCTCTAATCTATATCTTTGTTTACAGGTTACGTCTGTTACTAACCCATTCTTTTTTCCTCCTGCTGACAAGTCTCAGAGGTACAAAATATGACAGAATGATTGGAAATGAGAAGACTTACGCGTGGGGGCAGATGAACTTAACATGAGGGAGCTGGATCCCTGACAAAGTGTCGGCCCACCCATGCCTGACAGAAAACACAGAAAGCAGCTCTTTGTTTCTAATCCAGTTGCAGCAAAATGACAAATATACAGTACATCCAACCCGCAATGCAGTATTACAACTTAATAGTGTAAAATATAGTGTATAGTACAATATGTTGCTAGTAAATGAAAATTAAAGGTTGCTCTTGAGGTAGCATTACACAAACCCCACCAGGGGGAATGTTTTCCATCCTGCACACTGGTGTTGTCAGTGGTGTCTTTTGAAATTAAACTGCATGAAAGTGCGCATCAATTAACCCATTTACACTTGGCCACTGGATCACTAATCAATATCAAAAAGTCAAGTGTAAATAGAACCAGGGGCTGTAGCCAAAATTCCAAAAAAACATTAAGGTCGGTACTTCCCCAGTACAACCCTCCCCTACCTAAAAACATGTCGGGCTGTGTCAGACTCTACACAGACTACGTAAACACAAGGGTCATGCACATATTTATGGCTGTCTTGCATCTTGGTATATGCAATACACCCCTCACCCAGCACAGGGCAGGAGCCACTGGCCTGTGGTCCTAATCAGTCACACAGTTTATCAGGTAGAGACAAAAGCTGCTGCCAAAAAGAAGTGGATCGTCCGGAAAAAGAAGAAAGGCCCCTGTTTGCCATATTATACAGATGCCCATGAACACCAGAAGCAGTTCTTCTTTTAGAACAAAAATTTCAGAGTAGCATGACATATAGGACAACACATTTTGCTACACCAGTACGCTTCAAACCCTCCCTGCATAGCTGGAAGCGTTCATAGTTGCATAGCTTGTGTAGAGTCTGAAGAAACTTTAGTTGAACAAGATTAAAGCTCCCTCCACTGAAACAATATGTTTGCTTATATTATACTTGGCTGCGTCATCCTCTGCTTCCTGCTCACAATGATGTAGTTTGCCACTAAAGGGAAAGTTTCTCTAAGGTCACCTTAATACTTCAAGATGTGCACGTACTGTGCAAACGTGATTTCTGATATCACAGATATTGTGGACTGAGCAGCTTAAAGAGGTGCGATGTGCAGGATTTGAACTTGCAGCACATGTAGATTGAGAATAGGTGTCATGGTGAAGTGGGAGACATGTTGTTTTGAGTAGTCGAACTTTGAAAATGAACAATATTTGCATATTGAAAGCTCCAGAAGCTTTCAACAAAAAGAGAAAAAGCTGTTGAGAGTTTAGTATTGAAAGCAGTCATTGTATGTCTTTATCTATGACTGGAGGGGATTTTTAAGTATCAGACGAGACATAAAATGTTAGTGGTTCTGTATAATTTCTATTTTTATTCAGCATTTATCTGTTTTTTTGTGGCTTTACAAAGTACTTAGAC